AAATGTTTCCCATTCGGCTCTTTCCTCCGTCAGGAATTGAACACGTTCGCTCTCTACCTTTTCAGAAGCTATGATGCTGGCAGCCATGTCCTGGCCAACTCTGACTCCCAGCTGACCTTTCAGCAGGTTTCAGAGGCTGCAAAGCTCAGGGGCGGAAACTGTCCATCTTTGACCTGCAGAGCAGCCCGTGGGTTTGGATCACCAGGGAGGAGCTGTCTTTGCATTGCAGACTACACGTCGGCAGGCAGGGAGCCTCCTAACTGGCAGCTAGTGACCCTTGTGGATAGGATGGCACAGGCCGAGCTGTCTCGGAAGCACGGACTCTGGGTAGGGTCCTCTCAGTGCTGAGAGGCCACTTTCCTCCCTCCCCCCTGCCCCCATGCTCTGTGCGCTGATCCAGCACAGTCACGGCCGCTGATCAAGAGTGCACTCCTAGCTCAGCCTGCATTGGGTTTCCGAGGCTGTAAACTGTACAGGAGACTGAATGTCCATCCTTCTCCCTCAGAGCTGCTGGTGGATTTGAACCACCAGAGAGGAGAGGCCTTTGGGCTAGCAGGGCAGCGGCCTATAGACGGTGCCACCAGGGCCCCTTCCAACTCAACCTCGCTCCCTTGATTAAGATCTCTTCCTCGATCTGGTTTTTGACTTTTCCACGCAGCCTGAGTCAACCAGCTCTGCTTCCAGGGCCCTTCAGCCTTCTTTCTTCCTGTGTAGGACACAGCCTCTCACTGTCCTTTTTCACTTGGACGCGTAACACTTCTTTTTTTCATTTCTCGTTGTTACTGGACAGGAGAAGTTGCTCTTGCTGAACATACAGACCGCTGCACAGATCTGCGTGTCCTCCTTGCGCAGGGGCCGGGCTAGTCTTCTCTGTAGCGTTCCAGTTTCAATGCATGCGCTGCTGAAGTGAGCATGGCTTCTAACTCCTTGAGGAGACGTGCTGTTTTCTTCCGCTTTTGTTGGACTCGTTTGCTGGCCTTGCCTCGTCAGCATTCCCTGTTCCATGTTCCTTCTGATGAGAAAGAGCCTTTGGTGAGGTCCAGCTCCCAGTTCACGCGCGCTGACTCAAAGTTCAGAAGCTGACTGTTCTCGTTATCACACACTTGCAAAGCTGTGGTTGTATCAGGTTTCTTTTCAGTTCTTCAAGCCCACTCACTGCCTCTTCTCTAATTGTATAGGCTTGCGTTTTGCAGCTACATTTTTTCCTTCTTAAAAAATTAAACTATACTTTTCAGATGTATATTCTTTTCTCTCCTTTCTTCAAATTCTCTTACAAGTTCTTCTGGAGTGCTGATTTTTAAAAAACCTGAGTTCTTTTTATTTTCCCCCCTTGTAATGCACTGTATGACTCCCTGAGAAATGAGACAGTTCCTTGATTTGACTTTATTTTTAACTTCTCTAGGTCTGCTAAGCAGGCAGAGAGACCCACACGGTATCATCAAACTCCTGAGCTTCCTCCTCGAACAAGTCTTGCCAGTGTTGTCGTCGTCTTCTTCTTCTTCTCCTCCTCCTCCTCCTCCTTCCTCCTCTCCTTCCTCCTCTCCCTCTTCCTCCTCCTTCTTCCTCCTCCTCCTCCTCCTCCTTCTTCTTCTTCTCCTTCTCCTTCCTCTTCCTCCTCCTCCTCCTCTTCTTTTCCCCCCTCTCTCTCTCTCTCTCACACACACACACACACACACACACACACACACACACACACACATCCTTTACACTGGCAAAAGCAGAAACAGGCTTTCTAATCTGTGTCCCATGAACAAATTCTGGACTGTTTCACTCTCCAACTAGCTATTCTTCCCCTTGTTACAAAACAAAGTGTGTCCCTTATATTAGATCGTCCTGCCCAATCCCAGATGCTTCTGGAAGGCGAAGCCTGACATCCCTTCGACTGGTCCGGCTAGCACTGCCCAGATGCCCAGGATGGCATCTGCAGCCTTGCTCCCATTCCTCTTGGCCACCTCTAGGAGTTAATCTTTTCTTTTTAGCCCTGACTAAGACTTGAAAACAAAGGCAGACAGGTGCCAGCATCAGCACTAAGGCCCCAGCTGGCGAGCTGTGCGCGTCAGAGCAGACCCGCGCTCCATCACCAGACCTTCCTTCCACGGGGCCCCTGGGTGGGTTTGAACCTCTGAAGTCTTGGTTAGCAGTTGAGCATGAGAGCTATCTGTGCCAAGCAGGGACTCAGGCATGGGGAGAAACACCGGAGACCTCTGGGGCTTACAGTGAAGCAGACGCTCGCTCTCTGCACCGTGTCCACCACAGGAGGGCTGTGCCTTCTGCTCACAGGCTCACTTTGGACCAGACGCCCTGGAACTGGGCAGCCACCCCTTGGCGGAGCCCCAGCTCAACAGCTTTCTGATGAGCTTTCCATTTTCTTGACCATTACAGATACTGCAAAATGTACTGATAATAAAGAAACACCTATGCATCTCTGTCCCGCTCCAGAACGAATAGTGAGTTCCGTTTTCATTGCAACTGACCCCTTCTTCATCTTGCTCTCATTTCCTTTCTTCTCTGTTTACACACACCACCCTGGTCTGCTTTCTGGTTCACCATCTGTAAAAGGCTTTTCCCTTTTTGGAAAAATTGAGGTGAAATGTATATAAACAAATCATTTTTAAGTAGACCATTCTGTGACACTGAACACACACATTGCATAGCTACCGCCTCTATCTGGTTCTGCAAACATTGTCACTACATCAAAATAGAGCTCACTGTGCCCCGTCTCAGCCCTTGGCAACCGCTAGTTGGCTTTCTATGTCTACAATTTGCCTATTCTGAAAGTTTCCTTAAAGTGGAACCTTCACACCACTCTCCTAAAGTCATACACGTGATGTTTAGCCTACTCGACGTTGCATAAGGCGGCCAGGCTCTGGGTGCTTGTGTTATAGCAAGTGCGTCATACAGAATGGACGTCTCTCCTCTGTCTGGAGGAGCAGCGCTGTGTCACATGGGGAACCTGCCTTGTGTCCACTCATTTCCCTACTGATGGGCATTTGCAGAGCTGAGGGCTGCTGGGAGCGGTGCTGCAGACGGCTCCTGATTGGACTGTGGAGCCGCCCTCTCTTGACTCCCTGTCTTGGCTTCTGAAGGGAAAAACAGAGTCAGCAGCCATCGGCGTTTACTCCCTAACCTCACTCAGGAGCTGGAGAAAGGCCTAAATAAAGCCATGCTGGAGGAGTCCCTAAGGCACTGACCTTAACCCGCTCTTAATAATTCAGGGTAGAGGCAGACAGGGGGAATCTAAAGGAAGAGGAAGCTGCTGCTTGTTAACTTTCTCCTCCCATTCCCTTCTCCGTCATGGTCACTTGGATTGAGGCTATGGAGAAGATGCTAAGAGCTAGTGCACTGACCCCGAGGCAGGGGACCAGAGGCAGAGCTGAGGTGCGCACTGACCCAGAGGAGGCAGAACCAAGGTGTGCACTGACCCCTGAGGCAGGGGAACAGGCAGAGCTAAAGTGTGAACTGACTCAGAGGAGGAAAAGCTGAGGTGTGCACTGACCCCGAGGCAGGGGACCAGAGGCAGAGCTGAGGCATGAACTGACCA